TGTCTTCAAGGTCTGAGATTCTATCTTCAGCTTCATTCAAGCGGTTTTGTGCTCTCATTTAGTTATGATAGTTTTTAAATGAATTATTAATCCTACTTTCACTAGTATCTTTAATCATGAATGTATAATGACTTTTCCAGTTTTCTTCTGTATGTCTAGAGGAAATCATGTGTTTTGTTTTGTTTTGTTTGTACCAGGAAATGAACTCAGGGCCTTGCACTTTGTTTTTTATTCAAATGATTTTTTTTAATTCTATTGATACAGTGGATACCTGGGATGAGTCCTATTTGTTCATAGTACATAATTTTAATACATTGTTGCTCTCCATCTACTAGTGTTTTTTGATGAGTTTTGCATTTATTTCCATAAGACATTCATATGTATGGATCTTTTTCTTCAAATGCCTTCTGCTAGTTTGCGGGTAACAATATGGTGGTTGCCTTACACAATAAGCTGAGAAGTGTTCCCGTCTCTTTTGTATTTTACAAGATATTGTGAAAATTGATGCTTGTTTTTCTTTGGTAAAATTCACCAATGAAGACATCTGGACTTGACATTTTCCTTTTCCTTTTGAGAATTCAATCTTTTTTTTGTCATAGACCTACTTAATTGTCTATTTCTTCTTATGTCAACATTAGTAATATGATCATTTAAAAATCTCTTTTCAATTAAATTATTTAGTATTTTAGGCACAAAATTGTTTATATCACTTCTTTATAATGATTTGCACTTCAATAAATTTATTAGCATTGCTTACCCTTATGTTTGTTTATTATTATTATTATTATCATTATTACTGAATTCTGTTTGGGAAGTGTCCTATAGATGTTTTTAAGGTCTAAATGGTTTAAATAATCTATTTGCACCAGGCATGGTGCTATATACCTGTAACTGAGTATAAATCACTTGGGAGGCTGATGCAGGAGGATCACTATGAGTTTGAGGCCAGCCTAGACTACAAAGTAGGTTTAAGGCCAGCCTGAACCACATAGTTAGATCCTATATCAAAAAACCAAAAAATTCTATTTGTTTGTCAAGTTCTTAAAGGACTTTTCCATACTCTTTTGAACATAAAATATTGAAGCTTCCAACTATTATGGAAATGTTCAACCTTGATGTTTTAGTTAATTTTCTCATTGCTGAGACAAAATACCCAATACCCACAAGTTCAAAGAGGAAAGACTCTTGTACCTTACACTTTGCAGAGGTTTCGGTGAGTAGTTCGCTAGCCCCAAGACAGAATAGCACATGGCAGAGGGACAATAGCAAAATCAACAAGCAAAGAGAGAGAAGACAAGCCTCTATCTGTACCTTATATTGTATGCAGGGTGCCATCCCTAGGGCAGGGTAGCACTCATACCCTTAATCCCATCACTGGACCATGAATCAGTCACAAACTCTAGATTCAACCACCTTTGAAAAGCCTGCCGCCATGATGCATGGGGCTTTGGGAGGACATCCAGTCACAAACCATAACACCTGATGAACATTTAGCTAATTTTATGCATAGTGAAAAATTTATTTGGATTCTCCATAGGCCTTTATGTCTCATGAATATGAATGTCCTGATTGATCTTCCTGGGGTTGTCACAGACACATTCTTTCTTGTACAATGACTTTTCAAGTTTATCTTCTCAGATAGCTTCAGAATATGAAAAAAAAAAAAAAAAGGAAGTCAAAACAGAAACAAGTTGACTCAATATTTGGTCAGATACTGATTATACTATGTTATTTAAGTCATTGAAAGAGTAGAATGTGCATGGGCTCATTTGATATAATTTTTTGCCATTAAACACTTAGGTTTTTATTTCATTATTATTTGGTCTTAGTTTGGCATGGTGTGGAAAGAAGCTGAGAATTCTTCTAAGCCTTGTGTAATTTTGTTTTGGAAATGGAAAGAGGCGTATACCATATGCACATGAAGTTTCTAATGTTTTTTCTGTCTTTTTCCCCTCAAAAACTTAAAATGTTTCAATGTGTAACTTTTGCTGAGAATTACATCATGCAGCACTGGCAAAGTCTGCCTGAGAACGTCTTCGCTGGACAGGGAAAGATATTTACAATTCAGTCTACACAAGCATTAATTGCAAAAGCATACCTTCCTTATACCCCAGGAACAATTACAGTTCTTATTTCTGCCCCCAAATCACTGCATATTATTACTGATTAAATTGTTTCCTTGCTTGCCCTCTCCAAAAAAAAAGATTGTAGATATTTGTCAGGGAAACATTTCCGCACTTTTGCTCATAGCCATAGAATAATAACTCATGTGTGACAGTTCTAAATGAGTATCTTTACATAAATGATAACATACTTTATGGTTACTTTGCTCATTATCCAATATGTTTTTGATATTCATGTTATAATGAAATTGTCACTTAAAATAATAGTGCTCTATTCCACCAGAGTCCAAGTTTATGTTGTTGCTGTTGTTTTGTTTTTAAATACAGTGTCTTAACTTTTATTTAAAGGAATATATTTAGTTTCAAAATTCATGGTACGTGCAGTGTCTATGTTCAAAATGAACCTGTTTCTCTCTGATTAGTGTGTTTCAGATAAGTGGGCAAACTACTTTTCTTCCTTGACATTTAGATGTTATATGCAACACTTTCTGCTGCACCTCCGGAATTGTTTAAAGGACTTTTTCTGTTCCTACTTTTGTGGTGGCTCATTATAAATTTCTGTTTGCCAGAAAGTATCTGATCCTGTCTCCTCTACAAAGTTTCTGATAGCACTGGGTTGCTATTTAATGTCTGGAAGTGCATGTTCTGAAATTCTGAAGCATGTGAAATGTCACATTTTGTCAACTTTCTGAGGCTCACAGCCAGTTTGCCAGTTAAATCCTTTATTTAACTAAGTAACAAGTACACATTTAATTTCATATTAGAAAAGTATATTAGGCAAACTCACTCTGGGTTTTATTTTATGAGTATAATCAAATCCTGAACATTTTATTAACTTAGAAAATGGTCGTAATGTTTAAAGGCTTTTAAAGGGGCACATACTCATATTGTATAAAAACATCACATCCTTTTTCAGAATACTACTTAATGTGTATTATTGAAAATTTTAAAAAATAAAATTAACTATAAAGGAAAAATTATAGCACATCCTTCACCATTACTTCAATATTATCTGACCTTGGATATATGTACTGTTTAAATTTGGGGTGTACATATTTCAGGCATCCATTTGGCAATACCTCTATATATGTACTTATTTATGTATTTTAAAGCTATGCCTTATATAAAATTATAAATAACAACATGCTATTTTGTGCAATTTTTACCTATTACCACATATGAATTCCAAGAAAAGATTATAATCAAATTAAATATTTTGACAACTAAGGTTTAAATTGTCATAATAGTCATAGCATTTGAAAACAAATTATCAACTCGAAAATCATTTAAATTTAAAGTGTAATCTCTCTGTTTTTAAAAATATTCAAAATAATAATAAATGAAATTACCTGATAGAATTCAGAATATGTATTATTTTGCAAAATGACCAGGTTACAAGTAATATACTTCAAGGATCTTAATATTGTGAACGTATGCATGGGCTTCTGCTAAAGAACTGGAGATTCATATTAGAACATTTTAGCTCAGAAAATTTCACTCAAAAAGTGAAGCTTGCTTCAGTTGGAAAGTTGATGATAACACATCACTGGAAAACATCTGAGAAATGGCTCTATCCCTACATAGAAAAAAATTATCCTGAAAATATTCTCTTATATTCAAAGTATTCACTTGGATGGCTCTCGTAAAGGTATAAGAATACAGATTTGAGGACAATTATAACCTTTTTTTTAAGCTAATAAAATCTCAGATTCTGGTAAGTCCTAAATAAACCCAAGGGTGAACCCAACTAATATAGTTTTCTACATAATTATAATTGCAAAAAGAAAACATTAGCTCCACCTGAGTTGCAGATCCCAAAATATATATAAAATGCCACTTAGAAAGCACTCTCTTCTAAACTGAAAAAATATAACACAGTAAAAATTTTGTCAGCATAAAAGCCATTTTTCTACAATCTCCACCTGCTACAGTTTGTAGAAATCTACTGCATTTAACTTTTTCTCAGAAATCAGTTAAAAGTATCATTCTGTGAGCATAATAACACCTATCATTATCTACATTAAGATCAGCAAGTAAGTTCAATAGTTTATAATCTTTGACTGTATTTGTCTATGATTGAATATGCATGAAACTGACTTTAATGAATTAGACCCTTCTCAGAAACTGTTTCTCACCTATGAGTTCCCTCCACACTAATTTCTAAATAACATTAAATAGTTAATAGTCAGTTGTCTAAAATACCAAATTTAAAGCCTATGCTCTATGAATTCAATACATATCAAAAGAACAAGCCAGTATGCAAATGAAACCATGAAAAGATATTTTAAGAAGTTTACCAAGAAAGGAAAACCAGCAGTGTATTGAATACAGGTGACAACAGTGTCTAAATGGTGCTAAGCAGAAAATTATGCTTCAGCAAAATCATTCATTACCATAGAACGTATGACAGGGTAAGGAGGTAGAGAGAGAGAGAGAGAGAGAGAGAGAGAGAGAGAGAGGGAGAGAGAGAGGGAGAGAGAGAGAGACCTAGAGCAAGAGATTACACTTCACTGTGCTAGGAATGCAGTCACTTGAGCTATCATATGATTAGAAAGTGGCTGTGGTAGGGTTTAGATTGTTCAAGTGAAAGCAAAACACTGTGGTGCTTTATCTCTTTTCCTATGTTGTGTGCCTGAGGGACAGTTTTTAAAGCCACTGGTTTCACATTCACAGGTACCACACAGGTAATTAGACCCAGCAGTGAGAAGTGAAAGGGAATAAGGATGTCTGGAATCTTTTGCCCCTAGAGAGCAAAAGCCATCTAGATAAAAGCAAGAGGAAAGAGACGTGAAATAAAAGAGGGAGAATGATGAGAGCTGCGGGCTTCTTCATTGAGTCACATGTCAATTGCCTGTACTTTGGCTTCTGTCGGTAAATGCATCTCAGGGTCTCTAAGTGATCTGAAAAATGTAGGGAAATGTCCTGCAGGAGCTTAAAGGTGGAAGTCCATGTCAATTTCATGATCAAACTGAACACAAGGAAACCATTTGTCCCTTTCCAAACCATATATTGTTAAAATACTTAAGCTCCATTTTCTATAACTTTTCAGTGTACCAGTTTCAAACATTCCAAAATGCAGACAGATTGAAATAATAACTTTTCATATCTCTAGGTAGATAAGCATGTACACAAGTGTACATTAGTCATCATTCAAAACCAGTTAAGCAATTGCCATGTGTATATCCTAAATAAAGGCATCCCTTTTTGTAACTCAAGTAACTTCACACATTATAAAAATAATAGTAATTTTATAATGAACCCAGTTGACCCAAACAGTTACTTTCCAAAAGTATTCTGAAAATGTCTCTTATAGCTATTAGTATTATTACATTTAAGTGTAAATTGAAATCCAAATGAACATTACATTTCCTCATTGTCTTCCTTATTTTAGGGTTTCTCATATTTAAGGTTAACTTAATACTTTAACAAAAAGTATTTACTTTACAGAGGGCTGAGGGTTACTATTTGCATTATAGGATGATTAAGCAAAGCCCTAGTCTCTACCTATTAGAAGCCAGTAGCACTACTCCCCCTCCCCCGCTGGGAACAATCAAAATGGTGTCCTGATGTCCACAGAGGAAATATCACTTGAATTAGGAATCTCTGTTAATCTAGAAGAGTAGTTTCTTCTCCTTGGGAATTTTTGTTAACCATACCTGGAAAAAAGTCTATAGCTTACACCTGAATTATTTCCACTCATATAGTACTACCATTCCTCTATGGACAGCTTGGGAATTGTGAATCTCAAATAGCAACAACTGGCCTCTGTGCATGTGTAGGGCCAGGGGGCTACAGGAAATTCCTTTATCGTCCCCTCAATTATGCCATGAACCTCAAACTACTCTTGAAAAACTCTATTAAAAATTCTAATTGTGTTTTTATCATTCCCTGAGCCCTAGATTTACTGCCAGGTGCTCATTCTATTCCTTGCTTTCTCTGTCACACTAAGTATAATCACTATGTTCTCTTAATTCTTGCTCTAGAGCAGAAGTTTTTGAATTCCAATATGAAACACAAATCACACAGATAACTTGTTAAAATGCTCTTTCTGGTCGTCATCCTGAAAGAACTTCACCGAGTGCTTTAGCATACAGTTCAGGGATATGAATCTTTAATAAACATCTTAGATCCATCTGAAATAGTTGACCCAGAAACCAACTTTTGCAAATCTTATGTTTCATTCTGTCTGCATTTTCATCTTTTTTGACTCCGGTGCTGTCTTATTCACACAGGCTGCAATACCTCTTTTGCTGGTTATCCTAATGCCTGTCTCCTCTTTTTGCCACAATCATTCCTTTGTAAATTGCGAAAGTAATCTTCTGCAAATGCCATTTTTATCACATCACCTTCCTGCTCAAGAATCAGCTACTCCTAATATATCAAGTCTAAACTCTTGGCCTATAATTCAAGGTCCTCTGTCAGCTAGCACTTTTGTACCTCTCTAATTTTATCTTCTCCCACTGCAGACTGACTCCCCGCTCCAGCTAACTCCAGCCAACTTTCCATTCTTCCCTGCTACTTACTTGGGTGGTTCTGAGTGCCACATCAGTTGGAATGCTGTTCCCTTTTATTTCCTCAACACATAATATATATTTGTTCCCAACTCATCTACCTCAGAAAAATTTTTCTCATTAAAATTTTGTACCTAATCATTGAGATAACTGAATGAAAATTATCATACTAGACTGTAGTACAGATGGGTGAAAATCACAAAAAAAAACCCCTCTAACTCCATCAAATATCAGTAATGTTTTTCTAATGGACCTATGAAAGTAAATTACTGTAATAATATTGTTAGAGTTTAGATTAAAAAATTAGGAAATACTATTAAAATACACAGGTCAAGCTGGGCACAGTGTCAGATGCATATCATTCCAGCTACTTGGGTGGCTGAGGCAAGAGGAGCACAGTGTGAGGCCAGTCTGGTCAATTTAGTTAGACACTATCTCAAAACAGAAAAGGTCTGGGGATGTCGCTCAGTGCAATGTCATAGGTTGAATACCCAGTACTGCCCTCCCCCACAACATTTAAATACATGGGCTAAAAGTTTAGTTTAAGTAGAGCTGTAGAAAATGCTACAATGTGTAATAACACATAAATAATTGCTGGGCAATAAAGGATTGGAGAACAATAAGATAGCAAATGCTGATATTAAAATGAACATGGGAGTATAGTCCAATCTCAGGTAGAAATGAAAAAGAAAGTAAAGTCTTTACAAGTAAATCAGTCGTACAAATCCTTCCCAGAAGCTGTTTCAGTTTTGTAAGGACATTAGTTTTCTTGTCTTACAACCACTGCTCACCTAGCCAATCAACTGTTGTCCCCTTCAAAGTAGTCACTTCCTCAGCCTGTGAAGCAAAACACTGCAAGAGATTCTAGAGCACTGACATGCCACAAGCATGCCTAATTCATTCAGTGCAGCCATAGTTCTGTGCATTAGGAATTCCTGAAAGTTCCTACTCCTCCATACCCTTGCCCACAACTGGGTTTACTCACTTTCCAAATTCACTTCATTGAATGGATGATTTGTGATGTCATAATATGACCTTACATCACATTGTGACAATTTACATTTATATAATTACTACAGAGTTTGCACAGCTCTGAGAGCCATTCAAGATACCTTATCTGTGGATGCATTCTCTGATCATCTCTGCCTAACTACCTTGTCTTATCTCTGATCCCTCCCCTCTAGTGACTCGTTATTGTCACATTGACCTCTAGAATTAATGCTAAAATCCCTGAATTTTGCTAGCCTCCTTACTTTGTACATGATAACCTCCAATATTTTTCTTGTGCACACTTCTGTTATAGTACTTTATAGACTTTATGAAAATTGTTTATATGTGTGTTTTTCTAGTAGAATCTGGTCTCTAAAATACAAAAAAAAAAAAAAAAATTCAAAAACCTCATCATCCCTAACTCCTAAAAAATGGCAGATAAGTGGGGTGGGGTGACACGAAGATTCATTCTCTAATGATACTTTTTTTTTTCTCACTATCCTAAGAGAGGAAAATATTTTCTCTCTTCTAAGATGAGGAGAATCAAGGTAAACTGTATCTGGAGTATACTCAATGGGCCTGTAAGACTCAGAAGGGCCTACAACCTACAGTCACATCTACCCTGACACCAGAGGAAGCTCAGAAGTTTTCTTTGAAGCTCAGCAGTGCTTTCTGCCCTCATGCAGGTCAAGATCCACATGTGCCTGAGCTGGCTTCTACCTGAGAAAGGAAAAGTTCTCAAAAGCAAAAATCAGATTCTCTGAATACTTGTCCTATCTTGAAACATAACTGAGGAACCTTGCAATGGTATGAAGCAGACTAGAAAGCACAGAGAAATTGAATCAAACATGCCTTTTGCGGTGAGGCAGTTATATCTTTTGGGTACATCCAGGTGCAGGAGAAAAAAGTCCATTAAAGATGATGGGAAAAAGTCCAGCCAGATTGGCATGTCTTGATGTGGAGAAATAAGTGACAGACACTGGGTGCTGGTCCCCCATGTGAGTTCAGGGGATGCTGCCTCCCCTGCCAAGAGGGTGGGGCCAAGATGCAAGGAATCCAAAAGCAAAAAAATAGAAAGTTGGAAGTAAAGAGGCCTGTCATTAAATATTAAGATCAAAGTCACAGAAGTGGAGCTTAAAGTCAGCCAGAAGCCAGAAATATTCCAGACAGAGAAACACTACAGTGGCAAAGACAAAAAGTCAAGATAGATTCTTTTAAATAACTATATGACTTGTAAACCATACTTATTTGTTCACTGGTAATAAATAATTTCATTATCTTCTCTAGAATGGACACTGGTATCAATCAAATAAATAATGATAAGAAAACAGAAATATTGGCCTTTGTGAAGCATAACATTTTAGTGGGTAAAGATAGGCAATGGAATAGTAAATAAGTAACATGTGTGGCAAATGTTGATGACTATTAAGAGAGAAAATATATCAAGAAATAGAGACAGACTGCTGCGGGATTATGCTTAAATCCATGCTGCATGACTAGGAAAAATGCCAACCGAATGGATGGGTGCAGGTAGAGAAGCAGTGAGCCGGGCATTCTGGCCACAGAGAGCAGACAGCGCAGAGAGCCTCTCCACACACAGGTAATGGTGATGCATTTCTTCACAAGTGGTGAAGCCAGAGAGGCTAAGGAGATGAGAGGGAGGGAAAAGAGCACAAAAACCAAACGGTCACGGCAATGATGAAGTTCAAATACAACCTTAGAGTCTATTGCAAGGATTGATTTCTTTTTTTTTTTTTAATTTACAGTGAAACTCATTTGGGACAGAAAAATGTTTATAGCTGACTCACAATTAAACATGCTCACCTTTAAGCTAATCAAAAAATGAATAACGATAGAGCGGTGATGGAAAGAGAAGAGTCAGGATGCTTCCTCAACAAACTAACTGGGTGTGGCAGTTCCGATCTGAGTGGCAGCAGCAGAAAGTGAAAGGCGCTGAAAGCCTGGGCGTATTGTGAAGTTACCATTAATAATAGTCGCTGTTGCACTGAGGGTTTTTTGTAGGTGGAGAAAAAAAAGATGCACCAATTTTTACTTCAGAGTTTGAGGCCTGAGTGACATCATAAATGGAGTTCCCGTTCATTAGAATGAGAAATTCTGCATGATGTAAAATTGGCGTTCCATTTTTTAATATAATGAAATTAAGATAGTTATGTCAAGCAGTCGCTGAGTGTGAAGTCCAAGGGAGAAGTCCGAAAAGAGATACATTTATAAACCATCAACATATGCACAGTATTTAGTTTCATGGGAATTCAGGAAATAAAGTAATGTGTACAGAGATAGAAAATAGAAGAGATAAAAAGGTTGTTTAGAATTTGAGTAGCTTGAAGTTTACCATCAAATAAGACCACATAAGAGTGTAGAATAGGAAGAAAACAAAGACAAAAAGTCATACCTTTAATAGAAGAATACATATGTGTGTGAGTGTGTGTTTGTGTGTGTTGTGTGTATGTGTGTGTATATCTTACAGGGAAAACGCAAGAAACAAATATTAACTAAAATGTTAAATAATGAATTTAAATAGTGAATTATTCATCAGCATGGAAGTTATTAGTGTTTTGTTTTGCTGAAGTGAGGATTACTTTTGGTGAAAGCCAAGAGGTATTCAATGACATAAATTGTAAATAAGTTGGACAATTAAGCAGTATGAACCATTTGTTGGTAGCAATGACACATACTGGAGAAATAAGACTGAATTTCTCATACTTCTTTTAAGAGATCATTTCAAAAGAGTAATTATTGAAATTATGTAAATAATGAAATTATAAAAATTATTTTAATATGTACTATGACCATTTTAAGATAAAATTACTTCTTCAAATTTTGTCTGATTCTTCCATAGGATCTTCTGTAGTGTTTGATCTTGACAAATATAGTCTTAATTTCTCCTAAACATCATTAAAAATAGCTATTATTTCTTGAATATCACCAAGAACTGATATCATCAATTTTGCTATACTGCATGAAGTGGACTTTCCTGGAAATAAATACCCTGATTGAATTAATCAACTCCTAAATCATTTGGGTATTAGTCATCCAAGGTGTTCTTGGCCCTGGAGATAAGGGCATAAATGTTTCATTTGTAGTTCAGCGCAGATTTTATAATCATTATTTTCAAGGGGGAAACTGTTCTGGACAATACTGGGTAATAGCATTCTGTGAGAAGCCAATATTGATTAATACAACAAAGGAAGATTTTGTGTGTCCTTAGCACAAGGACAAATTTGTTTTCTTAATTTTATATTCAAACAGTGACTGCCTTCATGTTTCACCTACTAAGGGTCCTCAGCATATTTATTAAATTACATTAAGCTATAAATTAAAGCACACTTTAAACCAATACAGTCATTACCTAGTAATTCGATAACAAAGCCTGACAAATAAAATTGGAAATCGGCAAATACTTTTGCCAGATGATTGTACTGTACATAGTAAAGTGATGTGTAGTAAACAATTTCAAAAATAAACCTGGTAATTCTCCAAGAATTCCTTGGAGAGGAATGTTAATCTACTTTGAAAGCAAGAGTAGTTTTATTTGACAAAGACAAAAATTTAAATACAATATTGAAACACAAATAATCATCTGTGTAATCAATGTCCAAATTTCATAAGTTAATGTGCTAGTATTTTGGTTTAAGATTATTGAACCAATATTGAAAATGAAAATATAATAATAACAAACCATTACTGGGATTTTATTAGATATAGTTAGTAATTCAATCATTTTTAAATTTAAAAGTATTGAAGACCATCCAAATTAATTAATCCAAATTAATAATTGCAATTGATTTTGACTTTACATAGAAATATATAATAATACTTTAATTATAGTTTTTGCTGACTTTACACAGCAGCTTAATATTCCCTTATATTTTGAAGTATTTCTCAAACTAATGAAAAATAATGTCAGACTTTTCAGTCACTGGTCTCGTTAACTAAATACATAATACAAAAATATATAATACATTAAATAAAGTGAATTGATACTACACATCTTATATGTATTTCAAATTCTGGTGCTTCTAATTTTATTACTCTTACTATATAAAAGCAGATCTGGCACCATTTATTAAAGAGGCTATCTATAAAAACCAATGTTAATTCCTATCATTTTGTTCTGAAAGCCTGTATCATTCTTATTGTTTTTACTTTGTTTCATTTTTGTCTATGCTGTTGGTGTTTTGCTATTGTTCTTTTTTATTATTATCTCTTCAAAATAAAAAAAAATAAATCCACAGACTTGGTGAGGAAAACTATCAATTTACTTTTTCCAATGTAATATAAAGTAAATGAATTGGAGATTTGTTTCAAAGCTGAAATTACTTGGATAGCACAAAACTATTAAGCTGCTAGTGTTTTCCAGTTTGGGATTCATGATACTTGTAAACATATTCATGTTGTCCCTGTTAGTTATGCTCAGGAATACATCCATTCTTCCCTTCATAGCCACTTTATCCACTTAATTTTCTACAGAACATATATCACTATTTAATCTGATAATGCTTTTTAATACCCTATGCATTTTAGAGTAATTTTGGGTCCATAGCAAAATTAAATATAAAGCACAAACTTCCCTTATGTATTAGTTAGGGTTCACTTATTATTTTATATAGATAATTTATTAAGTAGGCTTACAATGGTTGCCTACAGAATCTGGGGACTATAAGAATGCAAAATAGCCATCTGCATGATGGAGAGGTAGGATCCATTTGAAAGTAAAAACCCTTCCAAAATTTTTTTTTAAAACAGAAAGTTGAAGGTCTCAAGCTCCCTGAAGAGTCCAGTTCAGTGTGTCGAAGGCCAAAGGTTCTGCCCCGGAAGCCTGAAGGCACTGGAGATAAACATCCAGAGGTGATGACAGAGAGCAGGGCTTCTGAAAAATCAAAGAGGACGATGTCCTTCTTTCCCTTTTTATGCCATCTAGGCTGCAAACTGATTGGTTGTTGCCACCCACCTCTGAGGGAGGATTTTTCCTCCTCACT